GCCCCGCGCGCGCCCCCGCCATGGACTACCAGGTACCGCGCGGGGCCGCGCATCGGGCGGGGCGCGGGGCCTGAGGGGGCTCCGGTTCCCGCGGGGCGGCACGGACACCTTCCCCCATCCCGGCCCCTCTGCCGCCTCCCGCAGCCCCGGGCCGTGCCGCCTGCCGCGCACCACGTGTCCCCGCTTCCTGCTCGGGCCACCCCGCAAAGCGCCGTGCCCCGTGGCAGCAGCGCCTGAGCCCGGCCTGCAGYGGCAGCCGCTCCGGTAGCGCGGCGTGTCCCGGCTGCGCCAGATGTCGTGGGGGTGATGGCGGTGCCCCCGTGGAACCCCCGTGGGCAGGCGGGAGCGGTCCCGCTCCGCTGAGCTGGCAGCGCCATCGGTGCCRGTGCCACTGTCCGGTGGGCCGGGGTCCAGCTGCCCGGGTGGGTGTCCCCATACCGGGGACATGGGCTGGTGCCATGCCAGGTGCCCCCTGCAGCACACGGCGGTGCAGCGCCAGGCTCACATCCCCTTGGCGTGTGTTGGGGGGCTCGGTGACCCCCCTTGTCCCAGGTGCGGTGTTGGTGCTTGGTTAGCGCCGCTCGTTGAGCACCGGCAGGGCGGCTGTGCGCTGGAGCGCTGCCCGCTCCCGACCTTGTCCCACTGGGCAGCCGTGGGTGCCGGCGCTGGGCTGTCCCATCCCCGCCGCGGGGCCAAGGGGCACCTGGGGAGGGGCGGGCAACCCCTGCCCATAAGTAGCCTGTCCCCGTGACAGGATCTGGCGCTGCGGGCACATCCCCGCGGCACCATGGCGGAGATGCTGCCGGCCTGGGTGACCAATGGCACCGCCGAGGGGACTGAGAGTGAAGGGGTGGGTGGGTCAGGGTGCAGCCTGGCCCCTGGGGCTGCGGTGGATGGCACAGCCCCAAGGCTGCGGTGATGGGCGCCATCCCAACTACCCTGGGGGTCTTTGCAGGATGCAATCCGGATGCTCAACACCCTGCAGACCAATGCCAGCTACCTGGAGCAGGTGAAGCGGGAGCGTGGCGACCCCCAGGCCCAGCTGGAAGCCATGCAAGGGTTTTTGGAGAGGAGCGGGCTGAAGGTGAAGGGGGAACCCCCGTCCCTGTTCCTTGTGTCCTGTCGGCAGCGCYGCCGTGCTCAGCACTGGCTGCCATGGGGGTCTCACAGGGTGGTTGAACTCTTACAGGTCGAGGACCTGGATCGACTGAACATCATCCACGTCACGGGGACGAAGGGCAAGGTGAGGCRGCTGGGCGGTGCTGTGGGGGATTGGGGGCTCAAGGGGGCTGCTGGTGTCCGTGGCTCCGTTTGCCCCTGCCCTGGCACAGGGGCTCTAACACTGCTGTCTCCTCAGGGCTCAGCGTGCGCCTTCACTGAGTGCATTCTCCGCAGCTACGGGCTGAAGACGGGCTTTTACAGGTGGGTGGAGGGTCCTTGTGTCCGGGAGGGTTTTGAGGGGTCAGTGGAGCTATGGCTGACTCTTCCCCCTGCTCTGTCCCCCCAGCTCCCCTCACCTGGTGCAGGTGCGTGAACGGATTCGCATCAATGGTCAGCCCATCAGCAAGGAGCTCTTCAACAAGTATTTCTGGCTGGTCTACAACCGCCTGGAGGAGACCAAGGTGGGGGCAGCAGGGTTTGTAGGGGTGCTCCCTCCCTTGGGTCCCCTCTGCCGGGATCACATGCTCATCTTCRCCCTGCTCTGCCTGGCAGGACCCGGTGCACGCCAGCATGCCAGCGTATTTCCGCTTCCTCACCATCATGGCCTTCCACGTCTTCCTGCAGGAGAAGGTCAGTGGTGGTGGCCTTCAGCTTGTGATGGAGATGTCAGCTTGGTGGGGACCCCAGGGAGGGGGGACACAGGACCCAGTCCCCAGCTGGGGCAGAATTTGTGTAGGTCAGGCTGTTGTGGCTGTGACCAAGGGATGCTGTGCCAGGTGGATGGTTCCCCCACAAATAGGGGGTGTGCTCAGGTGTGGGTTTGGAAGGGGTGGTGACAGGGACCCAGCTCCACCCATATCCCTGAATCCATGGGGACACCTGCTGCYGGTGGCTCTCTGATGGCTCCAGTGTCCCCGTGTCCCCAGGTGGACCTGGCAGTGGTGGAAGTTGGCATTGGYGGCACCTATGACTGCACCAACATCATCAGGTAGGAGCCAGCAGGGCTGAGCCTGTCCCCAGGCCTGCCAGGCCCTGGTGTCCCCACAGTGGACAGGGGTACAGCAGGRACACTGCCACGCTGTGTCCCCAGGGCGCCGGTGGTGTGTGGGGTCTCCTCCCTGGGCATCGACCACACCAGCATCCTGGGCGACACCATGGAAAAGATTGCCTGGCAGAAGGGGGGCATTTTTAAGGTAGGGAGACCTGGTCTCTGTTCTCTTGTATTTTGGGGGTGTGCTCCCCCATGTCCCCAAGCATTCCCATGTCCCCGAGCACCCCCATGTCCCTGAGCACGCCCATGTCCCTGAGCTCCCCCATGTCCCTGAGCACCCCCATGTCCCCAAGCATTCCCATGTCCCCGAGCACCCCCATGTCCCCRAGCAYYCCCATGTCCCCRAGCACCCCCATGTCCCCGAGCACCCCCATGTCCCTGAGCACCCCCATGTCCCTGAGCTCCCCCATGTCCCTGAGCACGCCCATGTCCCTGAGCACGCCCATGTCCCTGAGCACGCCCACCCTCCCCAGCCTGGCGTGCCGGCGTTCACTGTGGCGCAGCCGGAGCGGCCGCTGGAGGTGCTGAAGGAGCGAGCCCAGGAGCGCAAGGTGAGTTGGTGACAGGGGTGTGGATGGGGGGTACCCCATGGCGGGGGGCTCATCCTCCTCTCCCCGCAGTGTCCCCTCTACCTCTGCCCGGAGCTGGATGACTTYGAGGAGGGCTGCCGGGCGCTGGAGCTGGGGCTGGCGGGTGCCCACCAGCGCTCCAACGCCGCCCTGGCCTTGCAGCTGGCGCGGACGTGGCTGCAGCGGCGCGGCTGCCCGGGTAAGGCAGGGGACCGGGGGCAGGGGCCAGACCCCACATGGCCCTGGGGTCTCAGTGGGATGCCTGTCCTGCCCAGGTCTCAGGGAGCTCAAGGAGGTGTCACCAAGCTCTGAGCTGATGGGGAGGCCAGTGCCACTGGCGCCTGCCTTCCGACTGAGCGATGCCATGATCCAAGGTGCAGTGTGGCCGTGCCGGGACCCTCCCTTGCCATGTCATAGCGCTTGGGGGGCTGTGCTGGACCCCAACCAGTGCCACWTGTGCTGGAGGGCACAATCTGTCCCACACTGGATCCCTGTGGGGGTACTGGTCCTGGGGAGGATGTGGGGGTCCCAGCCGTGCCCTGTGTCCTCCCAGGCCTGCGGGACACAGAGTGGCTGGGCCGGACCCAGGTGYTGTCCCACGGCCCCGTGACGTGGTACCTGGACGGAGCTCACACCACCAGCAGCATCCAGGCCTGTGTCCGCTGGTTCCGCCAGGCCGCCCTCAACCAGGACAAACCCCATGAGTAAGGAGGGGACAGGAGAGGGGACAGCCATGGTGGGGGGTGTGGTGGTGCTGCTGGAGGGCCACCTGCCCTTTCTCCCCGCAGCGGTTCCGAGGTGCGTGTGCTGCTCTTCAATGCCACAGGCGACCGGGACACGGCGGCGCTGCTCAAGCTGCTGGTGGTGAGCTTTGGGGGGGTCACTGTGCACAAATATCTGGGTTTGCTGCTTGTCCTGGGACCTGCTTTGCTGTGGGTGCAGGGAGCCGCGAGGTGGAGCTGGCACCCTGTCTGTCCATCCGTCTGCTTGCCTGCCCACCCTGCTGTCCTGGGGTGTATCCCACCTCAGCTTCCCCCTSCAGGAGTCTGGGTGTGGGAAAGACTTGGATCACCCTCCTGCCCCATCTCCTGTTACCCCACTGGTTTGGGGTTGGTCCTGGTGGCAATCCCATGGGTGGGTCCTGAGGGATCCCGCAGTGCTGATTGCTCCTGTCCCYGCAGCCCTGTCACTTTGACTACGCTGTCTTCTGCCCCAACTTCACCGAGGTGTCGGTGGCCAACAACGCAGGTGGGTGCTGGGGAGACAGAATCTCCCCTGGCCCCCCATCCTGATCCCTCCCCAGCTCCCCCTGCAATCCCTGACCACCGTGCCCATCCCTCCCAGACCAGCAAAACTTCAACGTGACGCTGGAGAATGCCCTGACCCGCTGCCTGGAGAACCAGCGGACGTGGACGCGGCTCCTGGAGGAGAAAGCRGGGCAGGACCCCTTGCTCCCATCTCCCCTGCGGGTGGGGGGGCTGCTGCAGCTGGCCCCCGCCCGGAGCCCCCTGGTCCTGGTGCCCCCAGCSCCACGGCCCCTCAATTCCCCAGCGCTCGTGTTCCCGTGCCTGGCCCAGGCGCTGCGGTGGGTGGCACAGGGCCGGGACCCCCAGCTGGCAGCCCCTGCAGCCTCGGGGGCTCACCCCCACCCCGTGGCCAGCAGCGGGGCCGTGCTGCTGCGGGAGGCGGCCGCTGTCCGTGTCCTGGTCACCGGCAGCCTGCACTTGGTCGGGGGGGCCCTCCGGCTGCTCGACCCCGCGCTGTCCCAGTAAGGGGGAACAGGGCTTTGCTCCTCTGTTTACTTGAAGCAGGTTTGGCCCCCAGTGATGCTCAGAGGCATCTGCGGGGGGATGTGGGACACCCCACCCCATCCTGGCTCAGCTGTTTTCACCCCAGTGCCTTTTGCCCGTGCCCTTCCTGGGACACTGTCCACGGGGGGATGCTCCTGGCCTCCATCCCCTCCCTCATGAGACTGACTGGGGGCACCTCCAGCGTTTGGGGGGGCTGCCCCAGGCTGTGATGAGATCCCAGTGCCCGGGGGGCTGGTAGGTGGGAGCCTCAAACTGTGGCGAGGCTCRGCATCAGGACGCGACTAATTTAACATAGAGAAGATTTTTATTATTATTGATAMGAGTTTGTAACTTGGACGGGGAGCTGGGGGGGGTGGTGGGTTCTGCCCATCGCCCTGTAGGAGGGCAGCAGCCTCGCACCCCCCCCTGCAAATAAACCTCTTGCTGCTCCCACTGGTGCCTGCTGCCTTCTTGGGGGGATGCAGGAGGGGCACGGGGGTCACCCCAAGTGCTGGGGCCTGTCCAGGGGGCACCCACTTCTTCCCCCCCCATTTGATGGGGAGCCTTGTGGGAGGCTATGGCAGTAGCTGCTCTTTCTGCCTCCCCACAGCAGCGGGGGACCCCAGAGGGGTTGCAGGGTGCCCCCCCCCCGGCGTGGGCTGCCCTCGGGGGGCCAAAGCATTCACTGAATGAGTAATGGAGGCCCCCTCTGGGCTCGGCCTGAGATTTGGGGCAAAAAATCAGCTTAATGACACTGGGGAGGGTCCCCAAGTCCGTTGGGCGGGGTCTGCGCGGGCTCGGGGGGTCCCGGGGGCGTCAGGCCATGCTGCTGGTGGAGCAGGGGGTGCTCTGGGTGCTGCCGATGCTGTGGTTGGTGCTGCTGCTCTCCGAGGCCGGCGCCGTGCTGGAAACCGGCTGCAGTTTGGAGATGGGACCTGGCTCACACCGCCCGCCACGGGGAAACACCAAGGGAAACCAGACTCAGGGCGAACGGTGGTGGCCTTGGCTCGGTGCCACAGGACCTTCCAGCCCTCGTGCACAAACCCTCACGGGTCACTGGCCCCTGAGCCCCTGGGATGGAGATGAGCATGGGGGACCGTGGGGCACCAGGAGCAGGAGGGAGGGCAGGTGGCAGARGGGTCCTTGGGGAAGTAGGAGGGACCCTGGGGAGCTGTGGATGCCCTGGAGCAGGTTAACCCTCTATAACATTAGCAGGAGGAGTGTAGATGAGGGCAGTGGAGCAGCCTGGGCTCTGGCTCACTTTGGCCAGGAGGGAAAAATGRGCAACCCAGTAAGGGACAGAGGTGTGACCCTCCCCGTCCCACCACGGGGGTCCCCAGGGTGATGGATACTCACGGGTGTGCGAATAGATGTACCAGAGCCCGCCAGTGAGGAGTGCCCCGATGAGGAAAGCGCCAAAGGTGATGCCCAGGACGGCAGCCAGCCCCAGCCCACGGTCTGGGGGAGGATGAGACCATCAGCATTGCCACACTGGGATGGCCCCTTCCCACTCCCATTCCCACCCTCACCCCCTTCCCTGCCTCCAACTCACAGTTGAGCGGCCGCCCGGCGTCCTTCACCGTCACCTCCAGCACCTTCTCAAAGATCGTGTCGTTCTGCGGGGTCAGAGTTTGGGGTGAGAGGGGGGACATGTGCACCCTGCAGGGGGACAAAGCCCCCARGTGCTTTGGGGACCAGGGATTGCTGCTCCCAAACGGTGCAGGACAAACCCGATGGGGACAGGCGTGGTGGCACCACAGGGTGGGGAGGGTGACACTGACCTGCAAGCCAGCCTTGCACTTGAGGGTGGCAGAGAAGGGGATGCGCCCRCCCTCAGGAACGCTGTAGGTGAAGCGGAATCGCCAGACCTTCCTGCCATGGCTGCTGGGGGGGCCCTCCAGCACCGCCACCCCCGCGCCCCGYGCCTGCCCGCCCTGCACCAGCAGCATCGGCTCCCGCTCCGGCGCCTCCAGCCAGCACTCCTTCAGCTGCAGGTCGGCAGGGTGGTCCATCCATCGCATGGATGCCTGCCACGGGGTGGGAATGGGGGTCACTGTCAGGGTCACCGGCCCAGGGGTGGCTGGAGTGTCCCAGASCAGCACTGGCACAGTGGCAGTACCTGCACAAAGGCCTCCTTGTTGATCTCCAGCTCTGTCTGCGGTGCCTCAAAGGCAGCGGTGGGGAAAAGGCGCAGGAAGAGTTCCCGTGGGATCTCACACTGGAAGCCAACCTACAAGAGAGGACAGCACTGAGGTCACCCCTGACACTGAGCACCCAGCCCACAGCAGCATCAGCACCCTTCTCCCACCCCTGGACACACCGGGAAACCCAGCCCTCACCCGCACACTCCGGAACACTGCGTCCTTGGCCAGGCTGAGGATGAGCTGTGAGGAGAGGAAGGCTGGGTCAGTCACGTGTCCCCACTGCTGGGGTTTGTTATTGGGACGGGATGGGATGGGATGGGATGATGGGATGGGATGATGGGATGGGATGGGACGGGACGGGACGGGACGGGACGGGACGGGACGGGACGGGACGGGACGGGACGGGATGGGATGGGATGGGATGGGATGGGATGGGATGGGATGGGAGTCCCACTCAAACACATCCCCTCCATCCATCAGTAGGGCTGGAGGCAACACCCCCGGCTGGCCCCCTTCTCACCTCATTGTTGGCATAGCCCCTCCCCTCCAGTGAGGTGCCGCAGTGGCTGAGGGGACTTCTCAACATGAAGTGGGTGGCATTTTTCTCTGCCTGGCAGCTGATGTCCCTCAGGGTGATGTTCACCACGTCCTTGATGGGCTGGGAGGAAAGCACACTGTAGTCACCCACTGGATTRGGACAGCCCCGTACCACCCACCCGAGCACCCAGAGGAAAACCCAACCTCTGAGTGATGCTGGTGGACACTGGGACCCCAGTCCATCCCCTCACCTCCAAGTAGGACCTGATGATGACAATCTCCATGGTTTCATCTGTGCACTTCCAGGGCTTAAGCATGAGCAGCACCTGGTGGGGCAGGTCTGGGGGCTGTGTGATGACAAGGGGGGTGGTGGGCRCAGCTGTCTTGACCGTCTCTGCAGGACAGGAAAACAGGGGGGCTGAGTGGGGGTGGGGGACACCCCCATCCCACCCTGCCTTGGGGCTCTGGGGCCTCACCATGCCTRTGGATCTCCAGGCTGATGCGGGTGCTGGCAGGGATGGCGGAGTAGGAGGCGATGACGCTGTAGTTCTTCTCGAAGGCTTTAGCGATGAGGTCCTGCTCAGTGTCAGGCAGAGGTGACCCAGAGATCAGATCCGGGAATAAGGACAGCTTGTAACTGCCAGAGACCTGCAGTGAGGGGGAAAAGAGGGGCAGCAAAGAAGGGCTGAGTGGAGACAGGGACAGCTGGGGGTGCACAAGGCACGGTTCATCCTGGTTAGGAGGGCTTGCAGCAAGGGGGCTGCCACCACCTCGTGTCTMATGTCCCCCATGCCCTCCTGCCACCCTCCCCATGCCACCAGCATCTCCTGGGACTTGACAGACCCTTTGGCGGGCATGATGGGGAGCACACATCCCCCTCAGCCTACCAGTAACTGGATGCCGCACTTGGAGGAGAGGAGCCAGGTGAAGTTGGTCTTGCTCTGCAGGATGAGGATCTGCTTGTCCGCAGAATTCTCCGGACAGCTCAAAGACASGTTCACCTCTGTGATGGGGGTACTGCAAAACCACAAGACCCCACTTCTCAGCATCCCACACYAACCTGGGATGTGGGGCTCTGAGACACCTCATCAGGCGTCTCCGAGCCTGTCCCACTGCCTGTCCCACGCCAGTACTGCGGTACCTGGGCTCCGACTGCACGTGGACGATGTGAGCAGCCCTGGTGCTCTGGGAGTCACTGCGTGAGCAGCCCTTCACCCCGTGGAAGAAGACCTCAGCCTCAAGGTGCAGAACGGCGTTGAAGTGTTCCTGGGGGGTGCATTCCGGGGGGCTGCGGGCATCTGTGGGGTCATCAAAGCCAAACTGGGCTCAGYGGGTGGGGAATGCTCAGGGCCAGGGCCATCAGTCCCCATGGCATCTCCCTGGGGAAGCTGYTTTGTCCCAGGGGCTGTCACCCTTGTGGAACAGGAAGATCATTGCTGCCCACTSCAACCCCCAGCCCCACGCACCTTCTCCCAGGCGGAGCTGGACCCTGTGGGGGTCCCGCAGCTCGCTGTAGGATGTGATGCCCCCGTAAGTAGACAGAGCCCAGGCCAGCAGCTGCCCCTCRCTGGACACCACGGGTGGCTCAGGGTTTGGTGCTCCGATGGTCTCCGGGCTGAGCTGGGCGTCCTGTAGGGAGAGTGACAGCCTGAGCCGGGGTGGAGGGCAAAGCACATCCCTCCCCCACGCAGGCTGGCATGAGGAAAGTGAGAAAAACCTTTCTCCACAGTGTGCAGAACGCAAACATGAACCTAAGAAAGATGAGCRTCCCTGGAGCCTGGGCTGGGGTCACCCTGGATGAATGGGGGTTTTTGGGGCCAGGAGCTGGGAGCAGCGAGAGCCGCCGGCGGCACGCGGAGGGCTCGGCCCACTTTATTATTAGCCACAAACAAAGCAGGAGGTTTATTTTGCTAACAAAGCGCCCGACCCCGGCTCAGCTCGCTGGAGCCAAACCCCATCCCTGACCTTCCTCCCGCCGGCCGGAGGAAATGGGAGCTTTTTCCAGCCCTGTGCGTCATTCCCTGCCCGGCCAGCCCAGTGCTCAGCGCCGCCAGCAATGGTCAGCAGCGTCCCCTCCTCCCAGGGCCACCACAAGCATCATATCTGGTGATCAGGGGGACCAATCTCCACCAGTGATCCTCTCAAACACCCCAGTGGATGGCCCCAGCCCTGCTGCTYCCCCGGTGTGGGGCTGTGGCACTCACGGTGCGGATGATGAGGTTGGAGCACGGGGAGATGACGGTGGCAGAGCAGCGGGCGCAGAGGAGGACGAGCACCGCTGACCGGCTGCAGGCATCGGCTTGAGGAGTGACCATCACCGTCAGATGGACAGGAGGGGCCTGGGGGGCAAGAGGAGAGTGTCACCACTGCAGCCACCAACCCCCAACTGCTGTCACCTTCCTGGCTGCCCCCTGGAGCCAGAGGCAGCACAGAGAGACCTCAGGTGGGATCCCCACACTGGTGACCAGGACACCCCATACAGTGGGGTCGAGGCATCCCCTTCTTGAGGACCACGTCACCCTTGAGTTAGAGACTGAGTAATCTCTGTACTGGGTACCAGGATGTCACCCCACTGCAGATGGAGCATCCCCACATGGGCACCGGGCCATCCCCGACAGCTGCCCAGCCCCATCCCAGCAGTGTGCAGCTGCTGCAGGCTCGGAGAGTCCGCAGTGATGTGCAGGGATGCCTGGGCACAGGGATGGCACACACCATTCCTCCTGGCCAGCACTGCCTGGTGGCCTCCAGCCGGAAATCCGCTGGGGAAGTCGAAACGCCAGGCGCTAAGTTTGGCAAGTGCTGCCTGAATTACGGCTCGCAAAGTGCTGAGCCAGGCAGCGGGCAGGGAAAAACAGCAAAAACAGCCGGGACTGCGAGGGTGGAGGCTGCTGCCAGCGCTGGGCACAGGGCTGSCGGGATGAGGCTGTGGGCATCCCGGCCTGGCCATGGCCCCGTGGCAAGCGTGGGTGGCCAGGGACCCCGGGTGGCCCCGAGTGTCGGGGAGGAGCCGGCGGCTGTTTTTCCTGCCGCGTGTTTTGTGGCGCTCCATTGTTTGGCTGCGCGAGTGGCGGGAGCCTCGGCGTTCCCCGCCGCCGCCTTTCGGGTTATTTTTTTTTCTTTTTCTTCTCCTTTTTTTTTTTTTTTTTTTTTTTTTCATCGTGGGGATCTGCTTATAGAAAGCAGCTTCCAGTAATTCTTCTATAAGTGGAGCCGCGTCCCTGCCTGGCTCCCCCCGTGCGCCACGGGGCTCGGTGCCGCAGCCGTGACATCAGTGCGTGTCCCCTGTTGCCACTGGTGACAACCCGGGGGCACCCCCGGCCCTGGCACTTATCCAGAATGCCAAGGCAAGGCCAGAGGGGTTCTTGCAAAACAGACCCTCCCCAGCGCCTCCTGGCCTGGCTCTCCCTCTGCTCCAAAAGCAGAACTGGGAGAGCTGGGAGGTGGCGGGGAGGGGTGAGTGTGGCGCCGGGTGGCCCAGGGCTGGGTCAGAACTGGGTGCTGGGTCCCAGCCAGCACGAGGGAAGCTGGGCTGTCCTGCAGATCTGCCGTGCAAACCCATGTGCTGCTGGAAACCCACCCACCAGTGCCAGCCAGTGACAGTGCCAGCCCTGCCACCGCCYTGCACCATCCTCACCCATAATGTGGTCAGGGGTATGGCCATGCCAACACTCACAGGCAGATTTCTGCTCGCTTGGACACCTTGAAGTGATGTACCTCCTTCCATCTCTTCATCCATCCCTTCCTCCATTCCATTTCCCATCTCTCCCTCCCTTCCTCACCACTGTGGTCACCATTGGGTGCCTGCAGCTCTGCCCAGCTCCCAGGCCACCTTCTCAGGGAAATGGATCATCCTGGGATGCCCAGCACTGGAACATCTGCCCTGGCAGCATGGGCTATTACAGAATTTGCCTCTAAAGTCTTTAAACTCCCACTGAGGGCAGGGATGCCCATGGCTGTGCTTGGAGAAGCTTGGTGAAGGTGCCATGGAAGAGGTTAATGCAGGTCCTTTCACTGCTCCTAAATTGGAGGAAAGTTTTGACAGCTGGGACACTCTGCCTGCTGAGGACAGTGATGGGTGACAGTGCTGTGGTGACAGTGTCAAGTGACAGTATAAGAAGTTCTGAGGGGATGCACTGGGACCCCTCTGGCTCACCTCGGACCACTTGATGCTGAGGACATGGACTTCATGGTCGGTGTCCAGGGAGCTGTTGCTGACACAGCCCCGTGGCACCGTGCTGGTGGCGTACGAGAGGGTGATGGGTGGCTTCTCTGTCACCGGCTTCAGGTCACAGCCCTTGGCTCTCCCGGGGTCTGGGCGGAAAACAAGAGACTGTCAGTCCCCGCCGCGCGGATGTGGGGTGACACGAAACGGGGGGACACGATTCGAGAGGGGGCTGAGTGTCCGCGCCAGCCCCGGCACTGCCCCCGCAGCCTCAGCCCGCAGCCCGGCGTCACCACGGCCCCAGCGCCGGCTCAGCACCCCCGGGACCATCGCTACGTGTTCGCTCGGGGCTCGTCTGCCACCGCCAGCCCCCTCCGCAATCACGTTAATGACCCTCGGATCCGGGCTGGAAAAATCCACTGTCCCTGCTCGGCACTGCCGAGTGCCAAAACTCGCACCCGGCCGCCCCRAAGGCTGGGCCGGTGGCGGAAGCCCCCCCGCATTCCCCCGCCGCAGGAAAGTGGGAAGCGCRGGTATGGAAACGGCTGTAAAGCTCATCCTCCGCGGGCGCCGAGGCGTGAGCTTTGCCCCATCCCAAAGCCCCCGGCGGCGTGCGGCGAGCGGGGCCGGCCGGCGGCTGCCAAGGGAAATCCTGAGCGCAAACAGCCATTTGAAGAGCTGATCCTGTAAATCCCCACGTGCCTCGACAGCTTCCTCTGCCTCAGGCAGCCCTGCTGTGGCCGGGCTGTCCTCAGCTTGGCCCCGAGGATCTGCCTGCACCCATGGGTGCTCCTTTCCATGGGGCTGGGCAGGATGGGACCCCGTGGTCACAGCTGGGGGTTTTCTATGGGGAGACTGTCTGGGGTGCTGGATTTCATTTGGAGGTGTCCACTGAGCTCTATCCCTTCCCACTCTGTCTCTTCCCATCCTTGGTGGCTCCAGCCAACGCATCGGGAGATGCYTGGACCCCATTTCAGGTCCACCCAGCCACCCTGACCGGGACTGGGGCTAGAGGGTGTGATGCTCCAGGTAATTGAGTTTTCAGGACGCAGCACCCAGCAAAGAGCCACTCGTTCCAAGCCGTGCCCATCACGGTGTCCCTGACCTGCGTCTCACCGCTGGGGTGGCCCGGCTGTGGCRGCGGGGTCACGGCACAGACCCCCCTCCCGGTGACGCTGCCCTGGTCCCACTYATTGTCCGGCGCTTCCTCCCCCCAGCGTGGCGGCCGCGCGGCCGGCAGCATCGGGAGGAAGATAAACAGCCGCTTATCTGGGCGCCACAGGCTGTGTCCCTCTTCCCTTCCACTCCTGCCCCGACGGCGCTGGGCACGGCCGAGCGGCCCCGGCGCTGCTGGGCAGAGSACGGGCAGTTGGTCACTCCTGGTCACCATCCTGCCGGGAGGTCGGGCAGGGCYGGGGGCCGCGGCTGGGCTCGCCCCTGGCACAGGGCAGGGATGCCAGCGGAGGGGATGAGGGGCAGCGGTGCCAGGCGGGCACTGTCTGTCCCTGGGGAAGGCAGCGGGCTCCAGCATTATGTCAGGATCAGATAAGGGGGCTCAGCTGRGCCGCCGGGGCGATCAGATAAGGGCACTGTTATTTTTGTACTCCAGGAAAAGGGAAAAAAATTAAAAGGAAGAAAGAAAGAAAATCCACTTTATGTTTTTCTAGTCGCCTGCACTCTGCCTTGATTTGATGCAGCGGAGATCAGGRAATGGGGATGGTCCCCCTGTAGCTCCCCGTGGGTCAGGGGTTGGAGGGGCGATTCCTGGGCTTTCGGGAGCTGATGAAAGACCTAGGCAGAGAGCAGGGGTGTGGGCTGCAGGGCAGGGGTGGCTCTGGTGGCACAGGATGCACATGGGACAGGCAGCGCCACTTTGGCATCCCTGCATCCGGCTGTGCCGCCTCGGCACTTCTGTAACAAACTGAGCTGGGTCAGGAACGGGGATAGACCCTGCACTGCAAACCTGAGAGGGAATTGTCATCCTCGAGCCACTGCTGGCTGTGGGACCATGCTGAGGGGGCACAAAATCCCACACCCCTGGAAGCCAACTGTGTCTGTGAGGCATCCTTAACTGCCCCCGCCGAGGCCACCCCAGTCCCACAGCATCCCCATTCCATGGCACTGCACCCGCTGTGGGCACCCCCAGCCCTACAGGGTCCTGTGAGGCAGAAACAGCAGCTGGACAGGATTTGGTGAGTGGCACAGGTAGGCAGGATGGAGACCTTATGTCACAGCTACGCAGGACACGGACCATAGAGCACAAACACTCAGGATGGGGACCTTATAGCCCAACTACATGGGACAGGGACAATGTGGCACAGGCACATAGGAGGGGGTCCATATGGCACAGCTGCACAGGTTAGGGGTAGTATGGCCATAGGAGATGGTCAGAGGGCAGAGTGACACAGGACAGGGACCATACAGACACACACACAGACAATAGGGACCATTAGCTCCACATGGAACAGGGACTGTGGGGCACAGCTACGTAAGATGAGGATCACATAGTACAGATAAATAGGACAGGGACCATAGGGACAGACACTCAKGGTGGGGACCATATGGCACAGCTATGTAGGATTCAGCCCATACAGCACAGCCCTGTTACACCATGTATGGCACAGCTGTRTAGGATGGAGACTGTCAGGGACAAATACATGGCACAGCTACATAGGACACAGATGACATTGCACAGCTGTGTGGGATGGGGGCCAGAAGGCACAGCTGCAGGGTATGGGAACTGTACATCACAGACAGGGAGGACAAGGCCTCTGTGGCACAATGACACGGGATGTGGAGCATATGGCACAGTTATAGGATGGGAACCGTACCCTAAAGCTACAGAGGACACAGACCCTACTGCACATCTACATGGGACAGGGACACCATGGCACTGCCRTGGGACAGGGACTGTGGCACAGCTATGGGATGGGGACTGAGCCTCAGTTACACAGGACATGGGACTTGCTGTACATCTGCAAGGATGGGAACTGCACGGCACAACTGCAGGGAACATGGCCCACATGTCACAGCCTCACCGGGCAGGGACTGCCCGGCACAGCCACAGCACAGGGTTGTGATGGAAGAGAGTGGGCATCGAGCCTGGCAGTGGGGCCGCCCCAGCACCACCCACAAGCACTGACCCCCGAGGGGGCCAGCGGGGACAGACCCAGCCAGGACACTCACTGCCACTGGCCCCGGCCTCTCTGGACAGCCGCTGCCTTCCCAGCTCCCTTCCCTGGGGTCCRCCAGCTCCCTGCCCTCCATCAGTCTGAGTGTCCCTCCTTGAAATTCCCCCTGTGGCTTTGCAGGCACCTCGAGGTGGCTCTGGCTGCTCTGGAGGTGGCTGAGCCCCCAACATCCATATGAGGCTTTTCGGAGGCTTCCCCATCCCTTATCCCCAGTTCCATCCCAACATCCCAGATGAGGTTCAAGGGTTTTTTCCCATTTCTAGCCCCCAGTTCCATCCCCCCATCTCACGTGAGGTTTCAGGTTTTTTTTCCCATTTTTCACCCCCAGTTCCTGGTCAATCCCTCCATGCTCCGTAGTGCTGAGAAGCCACCAAAGCCACCCCAGACCCCTGTGTGCCACTGCCTTGGCCGGGACTCAGCCACGGCGTCTTCAACRCCTCCCGCGCCCGGGTGACGCAGCCGGGATTTCGGGGGTCCCAGGGAGGGGCAGGGCTGTCTGTGCGTGTTCCGGGAATCAGCGTGGGTTTGTCCCTTGCCACATCGGGGCTGCTCCCCAAAACCTSCTYTCCCGAGGGGTTCCCCAGGGTAACACCGCCTGTGCGGCCACTGCCGGGACCCCTTTGGCCACCGACCCGGAGTCACCGGTTGGTCCCGCCGCGGTGACTGTCCCGTCCCGCAGGTCCCGTCCCGCGATCCCATCCCGGAGGTCTCATCCCCGGGGTCCCGCTGCCCGGAGCCCCCCGTCCCCACTCACCCGGGCGGCCGAGCAGAGCCAGGAGCAGCGGCAGGAGCGGGACGGAGCGGGGGCCCATATCCGCCTGCGGCCGCTCCCCGGGAGCCAGCGCCGAGTGCGGGCGGCGGCAGCGGCAGGAAACCGACTCCCTTCGGAGGAGGGTCCGCGGCGGAGGAAATGCCGCTGGCGGCGCTGGGGCCGGGCCGGCGGGGCCGGGGGGGGGCGGAGAGGACGGACCCCCCTCCCCCGGAGGCGCCGTGCCTCAGTTTCCCCACAGGGCCGTGCGGGGCTGCACCTCCGGAGGGGCGCGCTCTGGGCAAGGGGAGGGCGCTGGTACCCGGGGTAGATGTCCCCAAGAGCCCCCAGGGCTCGCACAATTGAGTGGAGGGGTGCAACACAGGGGTTCTGGTGGGGTCCACTCCCCCAAATTACTTCTCAGTGATGGGGATGGGGCCTGGCCCAGGCAATGGGGATGGCGGCTGCCCCCAGCATTCAGCCCCCACTGCTCCGAGCCAGCATTCCAGCAGGGTCACAGTCCCAGGCTGGTGGCTGCCCCATGGCCCTGGACCCCCACTCTGGGGCCGTGGGATAAGTGGAAGCCTCCCAGCACCACCATGTGCCTGTACCCATGGCCGGGACACACATGGGGCTGCCCACAAACCCCTACCTGGCAGGTGGGCTTGGGGTCAGGAGATCCCCTATGTCACGGGCAAGGGGGCACAGCTGAGCGCTGCCAAACTGGGGGCCATGAGGTGGCTGGGGGCACCCAGGGACCCCATTCAGCAGTCCTGCCCCATTCCTCCCCACATCTCCCGGGAGAGACCTCACACGGCTGTCAGTGGGGCCGGGACCCTCAGTGTGGGGGTGGGCGCGGGTCCCCGGAGGTTTTCATCTCGACTCATGGTTCACGGGCAGGGGGACAGAATGGAAATGTGCCTGGGAAGTCAGCAACGCCTGTCCCCAGCAGCCGGGATGTCCCCGGAGATGTCGGTGACCCGGGGTGAACAGCAACCATTTTCCATGACAGAGCACTGCCATCTCCTGGGGACCGCGGGGACGGGTGCTCACCCGGGGATGGGGAMAGMRATGGGGACGGGGAGGGCACAGGATCCCCTGGCCCTGCCGCACTCATATCTCCGCGGTGACACCGCAGGACAACGGCCAAGAGACCCTTGGTGATGGACACGGGGATGGCGGCAGCTGCAGTGTGACAGAGAGGGGGCTGGCCGTGGCTGTGGGGTGGCCCCATGTGCAGGCCCCTGCACCCCACTGAGCCCAGCATCTTCCCTCCTCGCAGCTTGTGGGGTGGCCTTGAGCTTTCAGAGCAGACGAAAAGCATCTAAACCCCAACACCAAGCACTCATGGGAGAAGGGCAGGGTCCCTGTCGCACCCCCCACCCTTGTCACCACCCAGGGAAAYTGAGGCACGCTCACAGCACATCCAAAGAGGGCTGCAGGCACAAGAGAGACGAGTGTCCCCACTCCCCAGCTTTAGGTCATGGTGGCCCAAACCACGACAGCCCCCCTGTCCCCTTGTCCCCACCGGCACGAGGCAAGCACTCGCCGGCCCCGGCCCTGGATCGCTGTCCTGGCAGCGTCCCAGCCCCGGCCGGATGGCTGCATCCTTCCTGCCCGCCTGCCTCCCCGCAGTGCCCCAGGCTCTGCCCGTGGCTCGTGGCCCCCCGGGCACGGGGCTGACGTCGGAGACTGGTGACTTTGGGTTTTCGTCTTGGGGAATTTTGTTTTTTCCCTGCTGGCTTCCTTTCTCCGCTCTGACTCCTTGGCCTCGTGGCCTTGGCTGACCCCAGCGCTGCCGCCCCTCCTGCCCTCGCAGCCCCCTGGCTCCGTGCCCAGCTCCCAGCAGCCCAAAACTAAGTGGTGGGGGGCCCTGTTGGGGTTGCAGCTCTGCTGCCTGCTGCCCTCGCTGTGGCTGGGTAAACCCAGTCCCCAAGCCCCAGTGCAGCCCCTCTGCTGTGGGGGTGTACCTGGGTGGCTCTGTGGGTGCTGGGGAGCCCCAACATCCCCTGCCCCCCACATCAGCACCCACAGTGCCGGTCTGTTGGGGTCCTGTGACTCACAGGATGAGGACACCCGCCCAGTCCCCCAGCCATGAGGGCACCCAGCCTGGTGGCCAGGCTCCTCTGGGTGTCCCCAATGCATTCCTCGTCCCCTGGGGACAGGGCTGAGAAGTGGCACTGATGGCAGTGAGTGTCCAAGCACAGCAAGATASGGAGCACTCCACTCCAGGGCACTGCACCACCACAAACCATCACAGTGCAGCCACCCCGCACACCCCAAAAACCCTGACAGCCGGCAGAAACAAGGAAATGCCAAGGCATAAAGAGGTGGAAATCCCCATCCCAAATCTGGTCGCCTCCAGCCCCCRGCAGCCAGTGGGAGAGCCGAGGGGAAGGGACGCATGTGCAGGACACGGCTCAGCTGCTGCCCGTGTGTCCGGACACACGCACAGAGCACGAGGGGGTTCAGCAATCGGGACACAATGAGGGTGGCCACGATTGGCTGGAGGATGCGGCCGCAGGCTCCCCGCAGGCCACAGGGATTGGGAAGCCGGGGCGAGCGGCCGGGATGCTCCCTCCCTTCCTCTGAGCGCAGCATCCCGCTGCCCGGTGGGATAAACACCCACTTCCTGCCCTTAATCAGCTCCAGAGGGGCTGGGGGCGGGGGGGACAGAGGGGGAGAAAAAAAAACCCTCTGGAAAGAAAAACTCATTTCCTGCGACAGAAGAAAAAGATAAAGTCTGGATTCATTAAAGTGAACTTTACTGGGGAGAGACGGGAAAGAGCCAAACACAATGTCCTTGAAATTTCCTCCGCACGGCTCCGTCCACGAAAACAGGATAAAGCCGCTTCCGCTGTCTCTGCTGGAGTGCGCTGGGGGAGTGGGGCTGGGGGTTTGGTTACAGGCAGTCGAGGTGGGTGCAGACCTGCTGGAAAACCTCGTCCACGGAGCCCTCGGCGTTGAGCTGRGTACAGAGGGGTTAGCTGGGGGGCTTGCTCGAGAGCTCTCATCCCAGAGCAACTGGAGCTCTTCCAAGGAATGGCATTTTGGMCATGGATGAAGAGACCGGGGCTCATTAAGGGCAAAGACGCCCAGCCATCCTTGGAGGGGATCTCCATGTTGGGAATGAGAGGGGTCAAGCCCACTCCAAACCAGCCAAAATTGAGATTTCCCCCTTCTCTCATGATCCACATCCATCACTCCCCTCCCCTGGGACACGAGCCCCAAGCCATGGAGATGGATGGAGGGTGCTGGCATCAGCCACATCCCTGCTTACCTGGCGGACGATGCCTCTGCTCTTGTAGAAGGCAATGACGGGCTCTGTGGCCTTGTAGTAGGTGTCCAGACGCTTCTTGATGGTCTCCTCGTTGTCATCCACCCTCCCGCTGGTCTCACCCCGCTTCARCAGGCGCTTCACCATCGTGTCCTTCCCCGCATCCACGTAGAGCAGCAGCGTGGGGGGGGCGATCTGTGGGCACAGATGACACAGTTGTCACCGCACTGGGTTGSTGTGGCTCTGGTTTGGTTTGGTGAGATGATGGTGGTCAGCATGAGGGTCACAGATGTCCCCATGCCATTCTCTGCCTCCCTCACATTGGTCTGGGAGCCACCAGGACACAGAGGTGCCCCCACACCATCCTCTGCCTCCCTCTGCATTGTTCTGGGAAAAACCACGCCACTGTTCCAGCAGCCTCTAGGGCCGTGTAGAGGGAGGCAAAGGGACACTATGGCCAAGCCCTGGCTCTCTGCCATCACCATCATGTCAGCACTGCTGTCATGCTCTGTCAGCCCGAGGACACCCTGGTCCCTCCCACTGTGCCCTGGGCACAGGCTGTCCCTGAGGCAGGGGGACCCGCTGCCCAGATTCGACTTTGCTGGGATACGAGGCCGGGCTGCTGCTAGATGCAGTCCCTGTGCCAAGCTGGTGTGTGGCACGGCTCAGCATAGCCCAGCACGGCACCAGCCCTCACCTTTTTTTCAAACTCCTCTCCCTGCTTCACTTCCCGGGGGTATCCATCAATCAGGAATCCTTTGGACACRTCTGCTTTGGCCACCATGGCGTCCCGCAGCATGTCCAGCACCGTGTCCTGGGGAGGGGAGGACAGAGCTGCTAGGCTGATGTGGGACAACATGCCCCCCACCCAGCGCCCCCAATCCCTGCTGCAMACCCCACCCTGGGATGGCAGGGCCAGAGATGCCAGCCATTACTGTGGTATGTGGCATCCCCACCCCTGCACACCCCACCATATGGCAGCAGGTGGCAGCCAGGACTCACCAGGGGCACCAGCTCTCCCTTCTCCATGATGGCCTGCAGCTTCTTGCCCCGCTCCGAGCCYGAGCTGACCTCTGCCCGCAGCAGGTCCCCCGTGGACAGGTGGGTGTAGCCATACTTCTGCACGATCTTCTCACATTGCGTCCCTTTCCCTGAACCGGGGCCACCTGCAAGGCACACACGTGCCCCAAGCCACGGGTGAGGAGAGGGAGGGGACTGTGGGAGCAGTGGCACAGACACACAGAGTCCTCTGAACTTGGTGACCATGTTGGTTTGGTGTCCCCAAACCCAGCAGCAGGTGGATGGACAGAGCTGCTCCTGAGGTTGCCAAGTGCTTGGGGGTGGCACGGGCTGCTGGGAATTGGCATGTGGGCACCACACCCAGATGGCACCCAGGACATCAGCACCTGGATGTCCCTGTCCCATAGCACCAAAGGTATCATGACCACCATCACCACTGCCTGATGGCACCCAGGGCATCACCATCCAGGGTTTTATCACATTTCYTCCCAGGGGTTTGTTGTCACATCACCCCAGATGTTGCCACCCCGTGCCTGGCCAGAGGTGCCCTTCTGGTGCCAGCACACCCCACATGGCTTCAAGGAACCAAGCTAGAGCCACGGCCATCCCACGGTGCCTGGGAACAGCCCTCCTCAGCCTCCAGCCCCGGCTTCCCAGCTTGGAGGGACAGGGGAAAGGTCTGGGCTGACCCCACCAGTGACAGGACTCAGACACAGACTTACCCACTACAAAGATGATTTTGTGCTGCTTGAGCTTTTCTGGAGGAGAAAAAGGAAAAAAAAAGAATTATCAAAAGCCAGAAGGCCCATCAGGGAGTGAGGTGTCCCCAGGGGGTGCCAGATCCAGGGCAGGCATCCCTGGGGATGGAGGGGACCGATCCCAGAGTCCTGGGGGAAGATGGAGAGGGGAGCAGACGCATGTCCTGGTCACCTGGGCAGGTTGGGATGTCTGGACACATCTGAGCACAAAGACCCCATGGCACCTTGGCCATGGGGCTGGAATCCCACTGCCACGTGGTGTCCCGGAGGTGGTCATTGTCCACGGCTCCACTGCAGGCAGGGACTGGCCTCATCCATCCCTGTGGCCGGCTTCTCACCCCGCAGGGCTAGCAGGGGCTGTGGCAGGCTCAGCTTGGCCACCTCGAGCACCTGGCACAAGCCCAGCAGTTCCTGGGCCCCAGCATCAGTTCCTGGACCTGGTGGCCGATGTGCAAGTGGCACTGACTGCCCTGTCCCCTGCTCAGCACCCTGGCACAGGGTTCCCACCACCTGTGGGATCTGCCCCAACCATGGTGGGGGCRATGCCGGGGTGTGATGCCACTGGGGGAGGAAGAGCTAAAAATAAAGTTGAGCTGCTCTGGGGCCACTTTCCCATCTCCTGATTACAGCTGGATGAAATTTCAACTCCTTGGCACCCTGTACTCCCCAGGGCTGGGGATGGAGCCAAGTGGCTGGCAGGGACCAATGGGATGTGGGACATGTGGGGGGGCTGAAGGGACACGGGGGACAGACAGAAGAGAGGGAGGCCAGGACATGGGGGAGGGATGGAGGGGAGGAACGCAAAGGGGACCAGGGGCTGCACGTAACGGGGACAAATGCAGGGAGGACAGAGGGGACAGAGGCAGGGAGGGAAGGGGAATGCAGAGGGGATAGATGCAAGGGGGGACTGAGGGGTACAGAGGGGATGGATGCAGGGGGGACTGAAGGGATGGATGCAGGGTGGACCAAAAGGGATGGATGCAGGAGGGATAGGGGCATGCAGAAGGGGTGGATGCAGGGGGGGATAAAGGGCAGGGATTAATTCCAGGGGGGATTGATGCAGGTGGGGACCGAGGGAATGGGTACGAGGGAGACAGGGGGATGCAGAGGGGATGGATGCAGGAGGCACTGAGGGGATGGATGCAGGGGGACGGATCACTCACCGGCTGACATGCTGCCGTGGTCCAGGCACAGAAGCACTTAAGGCTGCAAGGGAAGAGCGGGATAAACAACTCAGCACATCAGGGACACATGGGTCACCAGAAAAAGGGTYGCCCTTCTTGGCCATGATGGTGCCCAGCTCCAAGACCAAGCTGGGCAGGGGTGGGATAGAAGACACAAGCCCCGGCTTGGCCCTGGAACAGGGAGCTGAGGATCTCTGCTTCTGCGGCCGTCACTYACCTGGTTCTCAGCAGTCACCCTCCGCATCCGGATGCGGTGAGGGCTTCCCCATGCCGGGTGACGCGTGGTGACGCTGCCGGCTTCCTCCCCTGCCCTGCCCACATCCCAATGCCCGGGGTGCTGCCCGACAGCCGGAAACCCGTTTGGGATGCCCAGTGCCACCAGGACACCAAGTGACGGGGACAGCACCCCCAGCTCCACACAGACTGCTTTAGGGGGGTGTCCTAAGGAGGGCGTTGCAGCACCCCASTGCACCCCCAAAACCTCGGGGGGATGTTTGGCCACCCTGCCTGCCCACACCCAGCCCCGCAGCACCCGCCCTGCTTGGCCACAGTGCGTCACCCCAAACCGGCTGGACGGGGTGCAGGGACGGGACATCCCGTGGCCAGAGGAGCCCGTGGCCGTTGACAGGTCGTGTTACAGCCTCGAAAGGGCAGAGGCTAAGAACGGCCACACTGAAACCGGCACCGGGTCACGTCCCACCAGCGCTGCGGGGACAAAGCCCTGAGATGGCCCTGGTGGGGCTTGGGGGGTGCAGGACCCCCGGGTGACAATTGTGGGGGTGCTGAGACCCAGGACAGCTGGCACCAGCCTTGGTGGGGTGATGGGGGGCCGAGGGCAGTCCTGACCCTCAGTGCGGGCTGGGGGCCCGATCGGTGCGGGCTGGGGGCCCGATCGGTGCGGGGCCGGTCCCTCAGAGCCGGCTGGGTGCCCGATCAGCGCGATGCCGGTCCCATGGGGCAGGGTGAAGGGTGAGGGTGGTGTGGAGGTGACCGGTCCAGAGGCGATGAGGGAGGGGGGCGCTGACCCGCTCGGGCCGGGGCTGAGGAGGGGGCCGGGTGGGCGGGTGCAGTGTGGCCTTGTCACTGCCCAGCCAAGGCCACTGCGGGCTGCACCCCGGGGTGCCCCCACAAACCTCACCCCGCCGCCAGCCCCAACGCCCCCCTCCCATCCCACCGGCACCCAGCCGCCGCAGCCCCTCCCCGG